AAGGGCTAGTTCCTTCTTCATACAACGCATCAGTATCGCCATCCAGAGAGGCTGCTTTTATATTGGGTGCTATTTCCTCCACTCAACGTCTAGATGAAATATCCATTCGCCCGCAGAGGATACCAACATTGGATAACAAATCTTCTCACTTCGAAAAAATCAATCACTCTCATGTATGGCAAAATAACTCAGGAATTTCTGATTTGAGAGGTTTGAACGATATTGGCAACACTTGTTTCATGGACAGCATATTACAATGTTTGTCAAACAATGAATGGATTTTGGAATTTCTCAAGAATGAAAAATATTTGGTCGAGTTGAATGAAGCTGCATTGATGATGAAAGCATTCGCAGAAGGAATTAACGGACAATGGTTGGAAGTTTCTACTGATACTGTGGTGAATATCGTTCCTTTGGAGGATCAGATACAAATATTCACTCCACATCTCATGAATTACGCTGAACAGGACGCCCAAGATATTCTCAGATACCTCTTCGAATGCCTTCATAAGGATGTGAATAGGATTACAAAAAGGTCTGAAATAATTTTCACAGAAATAGATGAGAAACTTAGTGATCATGAAAAAGCCCAAGAGTCATGGTCTAGATATTTGAGGAACGAAAACTCGATTTCTGTAGACAACTTTGTTAGTCAATTGGAATCAACTTTGAGATGTTTGTATTGTGAACATTGATATGTGAGTTTCGAACCTTCCTGAGATCTTTTATTACCGATTCCAAACACAACGAGTCAACTCACACTTTCACAGAACTTAGACTTTTTCACGAGAAGGAAGCTTGAACGATGACGAGTCATCAACATGTTAAAAATGTGAGGAAATGAGGAATTTTCCTAAAATACTAGTGATATATTTGAAACGCTTCCCGCCATTGGAGAATCTTCATGGAAAAATAAACAGTACCATTGATTTTTGTCTAGAAGATTCGGATTTGGGTAATTATGCAGCAGATAATGAAAGGACCCCGCACTTTTAGTACGTGAAATGGTTCTCGGTGAAATTTTCTGAATTTTCAGTATGTTGTAGAATTCGATGAACTGATTGAACCTGCAGAATCGTAAAGTCCTTTGATGAACAGATTCTGAGATACAGGGCGTTGAAGTTACAAATCGGTATTTTTCATTTAATTATTTTCTCGAAATTCAGAGATGCCTAGTACAATTTTTTTCGCTCATATCATTAACGAACCTCCATATTATTCAAAATAATTCAGATGATTCAGATAATGTAATTGTTCACAGAGTGAAACATATAAACATTTCAGTGATGTCTGAAAATTCGATGTAATAATGAAATATCGAAAAAATGATTCAGGCATGCAATATACTATTCTCATTCCATCATGAATCACAGTTCATACATTTCATACAGGGTGATTTGAAAAATTGGTGACACCTAAGACCGATTTGTTGATACACATCCTGTATATTCGAGTGAATTGTTAACCTTCCAAGATAGCTGATACCGTATGAAAATGATTTCGTTGAGATATATAGGGTGATCATGAAAATTTTCGATGATGAAAATGACGAAAAATCGTGTTTTTTGAAGTCACCCTGTTATTCATGATTAACTCGGTGAAATTCCCTAATTATTTTTTAATATATTCTTCATTCGCTCCTCAATGCTGTCTTGAAAATTCAGTTTCCTATCATGACGGGTGTCATAGTTATTAATTCAGGAACTTACCATTTCCATGAAAAGTTGAAGAGACTTGTTCACTTACATTCGCATAGTTGCCGATATTTTTCACAAATAGTGAAACGTGAGAATGTGGAGACGAAAATAAGTTTAGTATTCATATACAGGGTGAACATTAGAAATTCAATAACAATAGCAGATATATATATATGAATTTGATAATATTGATATAATGTACAGATAGTTAGGCGAATTTCGTTGGTATACAAGCTCTGCCAAAATAGGCCTTCATAGATCATTTATGTTACACTTGATCTCCACATTCTCACGTTTCACTATTTGTGAAAAATCTCGGCCACTTGACGAATGTAAATGAACAAGTTTCTTCAAGTCTTCATAAATTGATGAACAATAAATTCCACAAAGAGAATATTCTAAGTTACAACACCCAATCTGAAATCAATCAATAGCCGCGTGACCAGTTCAGTATTTTTTTGTCATTATGTCCCATACAACACCTTTTCATATTTATCGCTGCTATTTCGGAAACATCCAGTATAATAGGATTATTTATATAACACCATCATACGTATTGAATTATATCATTGGAATGTGATATGAATATGAATCTAATGATATTATAATGATTACTGATAGCAAGCAAATATGAAAATGATGGAAACGCCTGATTCTGAGTGAAAAACAAATGTGAAAAAATCTGTCGATTCCAGGATTCAACTCTACCTATTAGAAATGGAAGCGTGAAAGACCGAATCTTCCTCCCATCTCCTAGGTATTGTTCGTTTTTCATTTTGGCAGAGCTTGTATACCAACGAAATTCGCCTAACTATCTGTACATTATATTGATATTATTAAATTCATATATCTGCTATTGTTATTGAATTTCTAATGTTCACCCTGTATATGAGTACTAAACTTATTTTCGTCTCCACATTCTCACGTTTCACTATTTGTGTGTCTCTTCAACTATTCATGCAAATGGTAAGTTCCTGAATTAATAACTATGACACCCGTCATGATAGGAAACTGAATTTTCAAGACAGCGTTGGGGATCGAATGATGAGTATATTAAAAAATAATCAGGGAATTTCATCGAGTTAATCATGAATAACAGGGTGATTTTAAAAAACACGATTTTTTGCCATTTTCATTATCGAAAATCTTCATGATCTCCCTATATATCTCAACGAAATCATGTTCATACGGTATCAGCTATCTTGGGAGGTTAACAATTCACTCGAATATACAGGATGTGTATGAATTAATCGGTCTTAGCTGTCACCAATTTTTCAAATCACCCTGTATGAAATGTTTGAATTGTGATTCATGATGGAATGAGAATAGTATATTGCATGCCTAAATTATTTTTTCGATATTTCATTATTACATCGAATTTTCAGACATCACTGAAATGTTTATATGTTTCACTCTGTAAACAATTACACCATCTGAACCATCTGAATTATGTTGAGTAATATGGAGGTTCGTTGATGATATGAGCGAAAAAAATTGTACTTGGCATCTTTGAATTTCGAGAAAATAATTAAATGATAATTACCGATTTGTAACTTCAACGCCCTGTATCTCAGAATCTGTTCATCAAAGAACTTTACGATTCTGCAGGTTCAATCAGTACATCGAATTCTACAACATACTGAAAATTCAAAAAATTTCACCGAGAACCATTTTACGCACTAAAAGTGCGGGGTCCTTTCTTGTGGATATAAACTATATGCTGTACCTAATCATAGTGGAACAACTTTGTCTTGACACTACACAGCATATTGTAATCACCCAATCACTGATTTATGGAACGAGTATAATAACTTGATTGTTTCACAGAAATCATCTGAATCTATCGTGGATGAAGAAGCATACATCCTCTTCAGCAGAAGGTTACGGATCACAAAAAATAAGATGTCAATCCTTCACGACGTCCCATCATTCGAATCGTCACCAAACCAGACCATCATCTCACGGAAGAGTCTCAGATTGACTTCCAAGGAGAGATCTAATAATGGCTCATCCATCATCAAACCTATGTATGAAAGAGTGGACAGGGTGATGAATGAAAAACGACATACGCGAATGTTCCACCAGAACGTTCCACAAAAAATATGAGGAATGAAAAATATTGTCCGCTCAATCGGATCTTCTTATATTCATATTGTATAATAGGTAGATAAAGTAACTATTCTTAGTCAGTGATTCGACAAAACCTTCATTTCTATTTTTCCTGATGTGATGCCCTTCTTTTCTCCTCTGCTTTCAATCTCAGTATTTTCTAACTAAACCATATGTCGATGAATATCTTATCTTCAAGGTCTACCAGATATTGATCTGATACTTGTCAGCTACAAACTCGACGTTGAGCTCGACCACGATAACTTCGGGACAGCACGTGGTCGCGTAAACATTGACTTTGCATATGCGTTGTGTCACGTGCTGTCCCTAAGTTATCGTGGTCGGACTCTACCTATCTTTCTTCTGATATTCTACTTCTGGAATAGACTTGTCATCCTTCATTCATCTTCCACATGCACTTACATAGCTACTCCAAGAACCATTGTCAACTATGGAGGTTGGTAACACAAGGAGTTATCCTACTTCGCAATCAGGAACAATAGAGGCTATTCTACCACTTCCAACATAAAGAGTGCCTCAGTACTTGGGTAACTATGGAAGCTGATTCAACTCTGCAAGCTGGATTGAACTCTGGAAGCTGAACTTCAAACCAGTAAAAGGAAACGACTCTCTGGAAAAACCAGACTCTCAGGTATAATATGTCCAAGTGCCAAAGTATTCAATTTGGGTCAGATTATACAATTATTGAAAGGTGGAATGTTCTGGAACGCCTTCAGCTCATTATTCTGAATACCTGTTTCTCTTCTCGAAAAACCTTCAGCTTCTTTCATAAGTGAATTTCTCAGCATTGATTTGATACAATTATATGTTGATCTGAACATCTCAACCAATTGCCTCATTTGTGATTCTGTTGAAGGAAATGAATGATTGATTCGTTTCTTGATATATTGTTTGTCTTCCTATTCGAGCAAGGTTTTCAGTAATTGTCTTCATCCAAGTAGCTCCTGTCTTTTGCAAATCTGATGCCAGAATAATCGAACAGGGCGAATTATTCATACAATTGACATCTGGATTCATAACACAATTACCATCCTGATAGTGAAATTGTATATTTTGAACTCACACCCTACCGAATTGATCTGAGCAGTCCAGGGGCATAAGAATATCGAAATTTTTCGAAATTTGTACTCAGACTATGGAGGGCTACAATGTGACGAATCAATAAAAATCAATTTATTATATATTATTTCTCGTTTATTGGGATATTATCAGAATAATAACATCAATGAAAGATCAACTCCATATCAACACTCGGAGTAGCTTTATCCAGATAATCCGAAGGACTGTCATTATTAATTGATTGAGGAGTAATATTTAGAGATCATCTGGAACACTGTTCAGAATACCAGATATGGTGATCTGAGATGGCCCAATAGAACTTCTTTCATACTTTCGTAATTTCTTGGATTTGAAGATACACTGAATGTCTCGTCTATATTGAAATATTTTATATCATTCGAATCAACTGTTGGCCACTCAATATTCTGCTGGGTAGTAACATTCCCAGGTGTTGGATTCCTAGAAATAAAATAAGAATGCGAATGTGAGAAAAGTCTTGATGAGAGATATAGAAAAGGATATAACACTTATGGGTAGAAGAAAAGTTACCAAAATTATCCATTTTACAGAGTATTCCAAGGAAGGGTGAATCCGTTGCTGAATGAATGAAATACATGGTTACTAGTATTAGTTAGATGTATTTCTTTGGTGATGTGATAGGGAAGGAGAAAAAAAGTAAATTAGATCCTTATATGCAATATGCGAAAGTTGATAGTTTTTGAGATATCAAAATTCTCCTGTCTTTTTCCAGAAGATATACTTCGGAGAATTTAACAGTAAGTTTACCGCAAAAAAGCTGTACATTTTTCCAACCTTTCAACTAGAATACATTATCAACAGTATTTTCTTATGTTTGAGATGAGATAATTCTAGAAATAATTCACCTAGATTATAGATACATTGTGAATACAACTTCCATGTCTGAATTGTGAATATCATTACTTTCGAGCGGATTTTTTGTTATTAATTATCTCAATCACATTTGTCAGAGATTTGTCAGAATTTCCTTCAGGAAATAGCTATCTAACTGGGTACAAATGGAACTTGAAGTGCTTGATACGGATTATCATTCCGAATGAATAGTTGAAACATACTCAAGAAATTCCATTATTATTCACTCTTAACAAATTCTATCTAGAGAGAGAGCCTCTATCAGGGATATTTACTCTGCAGCGTATCTTTATTCTTTTTTTTCTTCATTCGTGTTGTCAAATTATTTTGTATGTGCAGGGCAGCGTCGGTTATCCTCTTGTATGAGCTCATGCCCAGTGTCTGATATCAAAATCCAAATACTAGCGCTTTCATATAACCTCACACATAATAATCAAGAAGGGTCAGGTCAGAGCTCAGCGGTGGCCAATCGATTGACCCTCATCTTCTAATCCAAATGTTAGGAAAACGTTCATCCAGGAACTGCCGAACGATCAGCCAATAATGCGCTGGACAGCCGTCTTGTTGGAATTACATTTGTCCACTAGATCATGATGCAGAATTGATAATCATCATACATTTCTCCGTTCGAATGATATGTGGTCCTATTGAATAACGGTCAACAAGTCCCGTCTACACGCTTTCACAAGAAACTTCTGCTGGATACTAGTTCCCCCAGTTGAATGGAGGTTGCTTTGGCTCAATAATCGAAGTTATAAACATTTGTTATGCTGTTATGATGCCTTGAGCGGATGAACGAAAAAAAATGAACACTGATAGGCATCTTTCAAGTATCAAGAATCATTACCAATTAGTTTGAAATAACAAACCCGTTTCGAGCACTATTTGTTTTTCTTTGTATCTAGTTAGATAACTATTATTTGTATGGAGGAAATTTTAATAAACTTTAAACAAAGATGTGGCTCAGATATATTTCCAAACATAACTGCTAGAAAGTGTTCAACTCCACAATCGAATAACGGAAATGCGTTCTTGTATCAGCAATCATTCTAGGATCTGAATTATTCCTTATTTTTTATTCGTTTTGAAAGCTGACACATCCCATATACATTCATTATTTTATCTGAGTCTCATAGATGATGCCAGTTACACTATTCGCACCAAGTTTTTCTGAAGATGAATTTGTTATGAAGGTCATATTTTCTAGTTGAAATGAGAGCGTGAGTGATTGAAGAACATCCCAATATACATCAATATTATACTCCTGGTAGATCTCGATCACTGATTGCCTACTCATAATGAAGTAATATCAGATGCTGGTATCTACTTAATGAGCAACTCCGACTATTAATTGACATCTGGAAACAATAATATCATTCTGATTGTTGAAATATTTATTGAACAAAGAATCACAAGAAGAACTCTATCATGATTTGACTCATACCTAAAATACGCAGTTGAGTCTTACCACAAGACAGAAGTCTATTTTGAGAAGCAGTAATCTCAGTCATACATATTACATATAAACGAGAGGAAGAAAGACGAATTATAAAGAGATCAATTCAGAATTTGCATTTTCCATCTGATGAAACTATGAATTCTTCTTCAGTATTCAAGGAAATATAACTACTTCCTTCGCTATTTACCTTGTCAAATAATGAATGGCATCTGTTGAATACCAAAGATGAGGATATTCAACTTGAATCATAAATCAACTTCCTCTGTCATATCGGCTTGATAATATGACGTGTGATATAATAGTTAATGAACATTGAAATGTAAAGGGGCAAATATAGTTGAAGAAACTCTGATGTTGTGGACGTTGCAGTTTTCAAAAAGCATTGGAATCACTGATTTTGGCCGATAAATATCTCACAACCAAATAATATGACTCAATTTTAATGAACTCGTTTCGGAAATCAAACATTCGTCAGTAACCTGACGGCCAGTCATTGTTTCAGCTGTTCTCATTAACATGAACAATGTTTATCTCTCTTCAAATAGCCAGGAAAGCTGTTGTTCTCAGTTATATATTCCGAACGATATTATATACAAATATATTTCTACTGAAAAAGAATGCGAATACCCAATAACAAGAGTTTTTAATTTTCAAATTCTCATTGTGTGTTCGAAAGATGTATCATGATGTTTGTTGTGACAGAAAATCAGACAAGTATTTGTTTCTCTGTTGAATATACCAAAAATCAATTTATAGTTCCATCCGATAGATAATACAATACTCAGAGTGTTTCTTAATGTTTTTTTTTTATGTTTATGATGAGTACAGTGTCATACATAAAGTTGGCATCATAGTAGGGAAACTTTCAATAATGACCCATTCCAAAATTCAAATTGGGAGTTGAGTTGTGCATTGAAAAAAAAAATGAGCCATGGAGTACTCGGTCGAGATCACGTGACTTTCGCTACATGTCAACAGTTGATGTCATTCAAATTATTCGCTGAAATTCGGCTTATTCGTTCAAATTCAAAGAATGTTCACAACAAAAAATTGTTTTTATTTCAATATCACATATGTGCCTCATATATTCCTTCAATTTTCACGGAGTGTCGGTGATTTTGAGAAAATCAACATCGACAAAACTATTACATTCTAAACTGCTCAACATTGATAACGTCGTGGTCCAAAATATAGCCTGAATTCAAAGTAGAATAACTCACGAATTGTCTTACCAATTCGGAATCGGTTTCCACCGATCATTAGCCTAATCTCTTGGATGTTTGTTGTGGCAATATGAAACTTCTGTGATTTCAGATAACATGGCTTTTTCTCACCTGTATCCTCTCTATCGATGCTTTTTCTTGAAACGTTTTCAAAATCCTCGAATTCAGAGCTTTGATAACCGTGTTATGAATATTCATTCAAAGTGATGCATTTTGTCGACGATTAATTAAATGAGACTGAGAGTTGAAATTCCCATTCAAAGAATCAACCTTGTATGTTTAGTCGATGGATATGTGATCGTGTACGAACACAGTAAATTCTGAAGTAGTCAATACAAAGTGATACAAGAAATACTGAATGATGGAATGGAGAATAACGCAGTCTTCAGTAGATGAAACATCATTTTCTCTGTGTTTATAGTGGAATAATGTAGTGTTACTTCCAGAAATATGGAATTCATTTTCATTCTTGACGATGAATATACAAGGGCGATGAAAAATATGTCCAGATTGTCCCGGGACGAATAGGAATATGTTCAAACGTGATGATTGATAACATCGATTTCATCTCAATATTTTGTAAACAAATCGATATTTCATCGCATAAAGTGAATTGTACAACTTGATAATCAAATATTTCAATCCAATATACTTGCATTCACGACACTGAACACTGAAGTTAGCGAATGCAGTTCCAATGATTTGTATATAATGAATAATCAAAAGGAATTTGGTTCAGTGTTTGTTGCGATTGAGGAAATTTGCAAGACATATACAAATTGAGTTGATTTGAGTATCAAAGTGAGATTTTCATGGAATTCAAACTCTCAGAACCTACTCTGCACATTTTTTCGAGGCCAGTTCTCAATTTGATATGGAATGTAGCGAATGAATGGAAATATATGTCAACTTTCTTGGAAAATCTTGATATTCCAATTATTTCATCTATATTGTGAATGTGACGCACATTTTTTCTGTTTATTTGCGACATGGCCATAACTGTTGAATTGGTGAACTGTAATTATTCTGAAATGCAGTAGGAAGTAGGTACATATTTTTTTGAACTCACTTGTATTTGATGAAATTCCACCACAGTGGAAGAATTAGTTCCCGAATGGTTTTATCACTTCCAGTTCCATCAGATAAGTCCCAAAGGTACTGCAATTCGGCAGCATGTGCAATACCTATCGAAATAAAATCAATATCAGCAATGATATTATATAGTGCGGAATAGGGTACAAGAAATATAATATACATTTATTTGGAAATTATTGTTGATGGAGATTAAATATAAGATGATACATACATAGATACATTGCGAATTGGTTGCCTAGCTGAATTCAATGCCGATGATGTTGAAAACTGATATGTATTATTGAATCATTTTGATCAAATCTCACGATTTGTCATTCATTGTAGTCGAGTTAGAGCTGACAAAATATACATTTCTGCCAGGAATATATAGGTGAGTAAGCTTTATGTATACAGGGTGTTTAAAAGAAAAACTAACCCCCTTGCTTGGATAGAAATAACATTGCAAAATGAGTTGGGTTCGTTCATTTAAAAAATGTCGTAACGACATCAGTTTTTATGATACAAGGTGTTGAAAAAATTATTTTTTCACACATTTTTCACGATTATTCCGAAACTACTGGCAACATTGGGATGAAATTTTGTATGGATGTTTCTTGAAATCTGACACATCACATAAATTATTTTTGATATCTGACTCTCATAGAGGGCGCTAGTTACACGGTTCGTATCGAGTAGTTTTGTACATAACTTTTATGAGGTTAGATTTCTCAATCCGAATATAATATGAACTTGAACATCATTCAATTTTATACCAAAAAGGTACTCCTGGTGAAACTCGATACTATGTTCCGTTTTCGGAATATTTAGATTTGCAAATAATGGAGTAGTAATGATGCTGGTATAAAATGAATTATATTGAGTTCAATTACCTTTATATTCAGGTTCAAGAACAATGGAATTATTCTTGTGTTGAAGTTATCGATGGAACGAAGGAACATAAGTAGAAAATTTGGAGTTATTTGACTAGAAACATGAAATATTGAATCAGTTAGAGTAAGTGTTCAAAATGTCCTACGTTTCGAGGGATACACGATTCTATATTTTTTTTTTTAGAATGTATCATTCTTCTGAACAGTTGAGGATCAGCTGTTAGGTCATTTAAGTGATGTTCAATTATGTTTCACAACTCTTGACGTGAATTTACCTATGTAGCATAGACTTTCTGCTCAAGATACAACAATCCATGTTCTTATTCAAATCTATTTCGTTGTTATTCTCGTGATTCAATGGTAAATCAATGATTTTAGCATCAGGAAAGTATCGTTGTTTTCGGTTTTCAATAAATTGATGAAAATTTTTCATAATACTCACTCTAATACACAGTATCGAGTTCTACCAATGGTACCTTCTTGGTGTGATATTGAATGATGTTCAAGTTCTCATCAAATTTGGATTGGAAAATTCAACCTCAAAAAAAATATGTTCAAAACTACTCTCGGTACGAATCGTGTAACTAGTACCCTCTATAAGAGTCAGATATGAAAACAAATGCATGCGATGTGTCAAATTCGAAGAAACATCCATACAAAATGTCATCACAATATTGCCAGTAGTTTCAACATGATCGTAATTTTTCACTGAGCAAACCCAACTTATTTTGCAATGTTCTTCCTACCCTAGCAAGGGGGTTAGGTTTTTCTGAAACACCCTGTATATCATCATGGGTTATCTATTCGAAATATGAATCGGATGAGCGCTGGTTATATTTTCTATCCAACTGCAATATGATTCTTTTATCAATCATTCATGGTTTTTTTACATTCAATATGTTGAATTCTCTGCCCAAGCGTTTTTTCCGACAAAAATAGTTGCAGCGAATTGAATAAAAGTGAAAATGTTCCTGAATAATTTCGGATATAGTGTGACAGGGTATTCTCCTAGACTCGATAACGAGGAATCATCACGAGTGGTGTTTTCTTAAACCAATTCATTCCAGCTCAAGAATAAAAGACATACTAATGTTATGAATGGGCTTATATCACAAAAAAATTATTTTATAATTCTATAGAACTCACCCAAACTAGCTCACCACCGCAAACCGTTTTTTGCTGTGAGCTCCTTATGTTTTATAAAAAATTATTGAAATCCCCGATTTTTCGGACCTCTGAAAACGAGGCGATTATGTGACGTCAAAGCCCTAATACTGAAACAAGACTATTCCAGACAGAGATGAATGATACATGATTTCTGACAGAGTGAATTAGTGCGAGATCACAGTTGAAAGAATTGATATATCAGTTGCCTCAGTCTCCGTCAGGCGTTTGGTATCTTCTTTTGAGATGAGGTTTCTACGTCATAAGAGGGTCCGTTTTAAGAAGGTACTATTATTTATGCCAAAAAATGAAACATGCCAGTTAATTTTTCGATCGAATAATGTCGTCAATCTTTATTTGTGTACAAAAGGATCATTATGAACATGGTTTGAGTTAAAAGTGCTACTAAGGTGTACACGCCCATTGAATCACAAGTGTCACTTTAAGACTATTTCAGATAGTGAAAGATGAAGAATCTGGAATTTGATGAAATGAAGTAAAATGAACTGAAATCATTGACATTGAACTGGATGTATATTTCATCAAACCTTGAATCAGTGATAACATAACATCTCTCTTGAATCTTCTGGAATTATGATCATGTATTGTATACATTCATCAGATTGTAACGATGCTCCTATCCTGATTATTTGAACATGCGCTTGTACTCCAATATTCGTTTTATCTTGATTGCTTGATATCATTCCTCAACCTCGAAAGATGTCGAAAAGCACTTTATCAAGACTCCTCCATCCATAGAACGGCTAGGCTCTGGAATTCATTGCCTGTGGAAGTATTCCCAACAACATATAATCTTCAAAAGTTCAAATAAAATTCCAATACCTACCTCCTGTCCCTATCCTCTCTAGGAACGCACGATGTTCTTTGAACATTATAGGGATTCCCTTTCGTGCGCTCCAAGCGATAAAAAAAATTCGCAACAACTCTTTCGTGATGCTGTGCAATGAGTTGAATGTGATTTACTGATCGCGTGCACAGCATCATAACTTACATTTGACGTTCGAGTGTCACAAACATTTCGAACACAAAAACTTGACAGACCAATCAGAGTCAAGAGTGAAGTTTGTTGTTGCTGATGAGCCAAACTTGACTCGAGCTCTCGATTGGTTCATTTGATAACCGCTAGAAGAACACTTCTGAATTGATGGATTAGTACTAAACAAGATGAGAACCATTTTACAATTCTTTACATGACATATGTCAATCTGATGATTGAGTTCATTCATTACATCGAAATCCATCGGAATATGTAATTGGAATTAGGGAGTTCCATGAGATCTATCGGATTGGAATATACATCATATATTTTCAGGAACATGAGCAAAAACAGAGGAATTCACTTTTGCATAATATAATGGCGATAATTCTCAATTCCAATAGTTTTTGCTACTAGTCAAACTCATACTATCCAGATCGGAATATAATTTCCATAGTACCAATTTCATTCAATAGGGGGACCCAAGATGACGAAACTCAGAGTAATAGTATTGTGAGTTATATATCGTTACTCACAATGCAGTTTTCATTAGTAATATCACTATATAGAATATGTATATAAAGTCAAACGGTGTTATCACTTTCTAATTGACATATCACCTACTTTGTGAAGATAGCGAGGCGTGGGAGGATCTTGCTGAATTTCTGAAATTCCAATCCAAACTTACAGGCATCATGAGGCATTTATTTGAGCTCACATTTCTATTTTCACAATTTTTTTGTGAACATGGGAACGGAGCATTGTATTTTCGAATTTCGATGGTGAATTCATGAACGAGACAAAGTCCAAACTCAAGAAAATTTTGTGATAATTGTTATTCACTTACTTTCGTACATGAAATCGAACGAATGTTCGGATTCTCAAATCAAACCCACACATTGCAGCAGAGTCAGTCCATGATGAAAGCATAATACACTATCAATACCTGCTCGATGAACTACTAGTATTCTGATCAATATCCCTTCATAATAATTTATATTTTTTATATGTCATTTGAACGAATAAATCCTGACTATCTCGAAAACGTGAGACGTGACACTAGTGACAGATATATCGAAACAAGATCAAGATGTTTCCGCATGAATTAATTGTTGCTGCCTGTCTCGTTTGCGTCCTGTCTTCAGATGCTTCAATTTAGATATCATTGAATTCATGCATCATCAACGGGACTCTTCAGGTCCCAAAAGAAAGTCTAGTTTAACTTCATAATGAGATTCGAAGAATCATTCCTAGAAATTCTCCATCGTTCACGTCATCTATCATCGAATATAATAACCCCACGTTCCGAACTCGCATTGAATTGTTCATATCAAGAGTTTTTCTGAGGAAACAATTAACGAGTGGGTACACCAGAGGGATGATAAACATCTCAATCACGATGATCTGAATATTCGAGATAATTTTGTCGCTTCATTGTTCACCAAATTGTGTTGCTGTACGGCAACACGATATAGTTGACAATGAAAGACAGAATCATGAGAAGTTATTCAGAACGAAGAGATATGTTGTCAGATTATTTCACGTTGATGAGGCATAAGAAGGATTTATAATAAATAAGCGATTTATTCATTGAAATGTACCGCCATTATTTTTCATAGAATGAAGAGATTTTGTATTTCGTGTAAAAATTTTTATTATAAATCGCAAAGCGCTTTCGGCTGAAAAGCCATCATCAGTGCTATACCTGCAAGTAAGTAACATTTATGAAATTTCAAAAAACAAATCGAAAAAAGGAGATTACCTACTCGTCAAGTATTTACAAAAAGGTCTAAAAATTAGTGATCACCGACATCATTATGGTACAAACGGGATTAGGAACAGATATACATTCAACAAATATGTTCCCTGATGGGTTATTGTGAAATTTTTCAAAAATACATGTTGAGATTGTTTTGTTCAAGTCCAGAAATATCACGAGAGACCTTAACCTTATTTATTCTGGAGAATGTTTGACAATTTTGAACTTTAGTAAATTGTTGACAGTGACTGAGTGTCAATGTCTATTACTTAGTTGACAAGTGTATGAAGTAGACAAGTGACATAATGAAAAAAGCGCTTGGAAAAGAATTGACAAGGTGAGCAGAAAACTGTCTAAAAATTTTAAAAAAATTTTGAAAAGTAAAATAAGATGAAGTGGACTTCAATCCAGGCCAAAGAGTAAACCTTTGTAGTAAAATTGAGAGAAAAGAGTTTCCAATCAAGACGTAAGAGTCCTGGTGTTCAAACTGGAAGTCAAAGGAGAATTCCTGTAGACGAATGCCTCATCAGAAGCAAACATGCCACCAGAATACCTCCAGACCCAGAACGAAGGCCGAACTCAAGTCTCAAAAGTAAGCCGGATCCTGAATGCAATTTTGTTGTGTTGGGTGAAAATCAAAGAGCAGGACTTTCATTTCGGACTCAAAAGTAATTTTCACCCAACACAACAAAATTGCATTCAGGATCCGGCTTACTTTTGAGACTTGAGTTCGGCCTTCGTTCTGGGTCTGGAGGTATTCTGGTGGCATGTTTGCTTCTGATGAGGCATTCGTCTACAGGAATTCTGCTTGGACTTCCACTTTGAACACCAGGACTCTTAAGTCTTGATTGGAAACTCTTTTCTCTCAATTTTACTACAAAGGTTTACTCTTTGGCCTGGATTGAAGTCCACTTCATCTTATTTTACTTTTCAGAATTTTTTCAAGATTTTTAGACAGTTTTCTGCTCACATTGTCAATTCTTTCCCAAGCGCTTTTTTCATTATGTCACTTGTCTACTTCATACACATGTCAACTAAGTCATAGACATTGACACTCAGTCATTGTCAACAATTTACTAAAGTTAAAAATTTTCAAACATTCTCCAGAATAAATAAGGTTAAGGTCCCTCGTGCTATTTCTGGACTTGAACAAAACAATCTCAACATGTATTTTTGAAAAATTTTACAATAACCCATTAGGGAATATATTTGTTAAATGTTTGTCTGTTCCTAATCCCGTTTGTACCATAATGATGTCGGTGATCACTAATTTTTGAACCTTTTTGTAAATACTTGACGAGTAAGTAATCTACCTTTTTCGATTTGTTTTTCAAAATTTCATAAATGTTACTTACTTGCAGGTATAGCACTGATAATGGCTTTTTAGCCGAAAGCGCTTTGCGATTTATAATAAAAATTCTTACACGAAATACAAAATCTCTTCATTCTATTGATCAGTTACGTGTATGCAGCTAGTAAAAATCTTCACATTATTTTTTATGCCAAACTGGCAGACTGTGCTTCGCTATTCATCGTAACATTCAGACTTTCCTTTGTTTTATGAGGTTATATCGTTGAGAACATTAACGCTGATAGGACAATCAGATCTGATGGATATCTATAATAGGTTCGCGATAAGCACACGTTGTCTCTGACTTGTGATTGGTCAGATTATGTGATGAGTGCAAAAGTCATTGAAATATCAAAACGAACTGATGACTACTGCCTTTTCTGACATTCAGAAAATATAATTCTGGTGTCCTACACCTGCATTGTGATATTATGACTTCACGAAGAGTTTTCGTCTCTCCTGTTGAAGTTGGTTTGATTCGAATACAAATTATTGAAATAATTCCATCGACATACCATCGATATCTCACTACTACAATTCGATTCTTGACATCATAAGTGATAATCAGACATAATCCATGATCCTGATTCATGATTTATAGGTAACTTCTCTGGTTTTTCAACGTTTATAAAAGGAATCGTAGTTCTTTCTGGTATGTTCAGCATCACAAGGATTTTTCGATGGTTGAAACAAATCAATTTGAAAGCCCAAGAAATACAGTATAAAATAGTGATGATTGTTTTTTTTTTGCAGGAACCAACAATCAATAAAGGTCACTTATTATATTATTCCATTTCCGGGAAAGTTGCTTGCAATAGAAAAGAGGTCAAATATTTACCTGGATATTGTGGGGATATGTTGGGTCCAGCAGAAAACTGATACAGATAGACTGGTGCATATTGGGATGTGAGCTCTGCCTGACGAACGCAGGATCGAACGAAAACTGCATCACTTGAAAACTGAAATGGAATTCATTTATCAATCAATGATGCAAGTAGACCTCTGTTATGTTTTATGAAAATCTTTCAGTACACACAAATCAGACAAAAACGTGAAAAATAAAAGATCATATGTATATATAGTGTGACTGAAAGAAGATTGCACAGCATGGAGATCTCGATAACGGTGAGGGATACGGATGCGGTGGAAATGGAAATAAGTTGTACATTGAGAGGATCGTTCCATCAGAGTTCAAAAATAGATGGAGCTATTTTCAGTTCTTCTGTTGTTCCAAACTTATTGTATTTATGGAAATGTATTTCATTTTTTTTAACCGAATAATCCTCCGGATCTGCGGTCGGATTATTTCAACTGTTGAACTGACACTATTTGTGATTATGCAAGAACTTATTGATGTATAACCCAAATATTCTGAATAACTCATAGGTCAACTACTGAATATCCTTCTTTTGTCACTCTTTCCTCCTTGAGACGCCTGAAACTATAGGTAGTTTCGAAAATTTTGAATAAATCCGTTGTATGATGTTTTCCGCAAATATTATTTCGAAATTGGCTTCCTTCACGTACGAAATCATCAAGAAGGATATGATTCACTCTTGCATTGAACGAAACTTCGGGATCTCTCCTAATCACTATATGAACTTTACCTTCAACAAGTAGAAGAAGTTTCCATTTTTATTTTGACATTCATTTTTATTGTTTGACACGATGTCGTATTCTTCAAAAATGGAATATTCGATTAATGATATGGAGATAATGATCGCAAGGCTGAGCAATGTAGTTTCATCATTCGAAATGATTTGAAGAGAGTATATCTTCGAGATGTTGAAGAATAACGCATCAGTGAACTTATTATGATATGAAATTGTAGTTCATGACATTTGGCAATCCAATAGGGATTTCATTTTAATCATTAGGACATTATTTATATATTTTTTGATATTCTGAATTGCACCTACTAGAAATTAATGCAAAAGGTTTTGGTATTTGCTCAAAGAAATTATTGTACCCTGAAGTATACTTCTTTAAGCTTCACAATTGAATAAACGAAATCATATTCGATGATAAATATAGTTAGAGTTCTTTTATTCATCACAGAAACAGGCAAGCAGACAATGCCTGATCATGTGTTTTTAGCAAAATATTTCGAAGAAAGTTCTTTTTTCTACTCTCTTATGTAAATTACTAACTTCACACATCGATAAAAATGTGTAAAGCTTCATTTCACGAATCGGTGTGTGAAGTGCCATGCTTTTCTTATGGGATTTATTTCACGCACCGGTGCCATAAGAGTCAATACAAATTCACACACTGGTCGCTGGTCTAGGAAGCACTAATTTTGTAGAGAAAGACAAAGCAAATGTACATTTCGACAATTTACAAAATTGCAATATAACTGTTCATAATAATTATCATTGTAATATGGAAAATTAGTCAAATTTTCCTTTGATTCAATCTCTAAGTAAAAGGTCGTAGAAGGAGTATAGTGTGCACCACGTCAGTGAAGACTTTTTTACACTCGTGCGAATTGTAAAACTCGCCTGCGGCTCGTTCCACAAACTTCCACACTCGCGTAAAAGAGTATACTTCACGCACTAGATACACAATATACTATTATTTCAATTACGCCTTCCTGATGATATTTTTATACAGTGTGAGCAATTCCAACCCGCAGTATGAAACCCGTCCACCGATTCTCAACGAGCTCTTTTCGAAAATATGAACAATTCCGAAATAATAAGAGTTTCAAGGCCTACCTACTTTAGATTGTTGAAGGAGTCAAAATTTTGAGAACGCCTATGAGGCATTACTTCCAATACCAATAACTAGCTCATTCGATTCAGGTATAGCATGAATACTGCTATACATAATTTGATCGCAAAATCGTATATAGAGTGTTACGTCGGTGGCAAATTTCGATTTCTCATATTCTTCGGTTCTCCCTGTATCAAAATCAAAAGATTAGTAATGACTGGTGGGGTGATCATTCAATGAAGGAACACATTAAATACTTAAATATTCAGTTTCATCATTGTTACTTCTACAGAAAGATTTGTCGGTCTACAGTGTGTCCACCTCGAAGACTTACCACCCCTGTAATATCGTTATTATCTGTTCGATTCTCCATCCAACAAGGAATTGATTTTATTTCTGAACTGTTATCGTAGCCAACTGCGACCAATTTCATTTACTCATAGTTCGAAAAGAATTATTAGGGATATTTTCTCCACAAAAAATAATGATTGATTCTGAATCAGGATCATTCCAAACACACCTGTACCGATTTTCATCGTCATGAGACACAGGGTGTCCTGAAAAATGATTCATTATTTTTTTAATATTCCACCTGAAAATGCACTATTGTGGTATTTATCATAATAATTCTTGCAATAAGAGTTATTCTAGTCGATAATAACTATATAAGAGTATGATAATTTGATCAATAAAGTTTTCATTATTATTATCATCATTATCATTATCATCATCATTAGTATCATTATGATTGTCATGAAACAAGAATATATTCACTCCAAAATTTGAATATTTCGTCTGGAATGATTGGCCAGTTCTCACAGTAAAAGCATCATGAATCTGTACTCCACTAAGAGTGAAGTGAAAACGAAATATATCATCTTATTTATAAGCTGTCGATTAATGATTGTTCAGTAGTTCGAAGCCGTAAAAAAATTCAGAAGTGTCATATTCTCTACAGGAAAGAGTGGAATCAATAAGATTAGTTGGTGATGGAACGCGTACTTTTCGTGAAGCAGCTAACGAATTCAACAGACGACATCCAGAACAAGATATCAACCATGTAACACTTGCAAAAATGAACAGATTTTTTGATCAACATGGAACAGTAGAGAGACTTTCAAACCAGCATCGTAATGAAGAAACGAGATCAAATCAAATCATAGTTGCTTATCTCAATGATAATCCACATTCAAGCCTCAGAGATGCAAGTAGGAATTTGAATATTTCTCAAAGCCATATATGGAAATCTTTGCAAAAAAGCGGTAGGAAACCTTTCAAGCCAAAATTTCTTCATACACTTGGAGCTGGAGATACTGATTCAAGAATGGAATTTTGTTTATGGCTGCAAGGTTTGTACCTAGAGAATCCCGAGTTTTTGAAACGAATTATGTACTCAGATGAAGCTACATTCACAAAAAATGGTGATGTCTCGTCACAAAATATTAGAATTTGGTGCGAAGATAATCCACATCGGTCAATGGAATGTGGAAGGCTATTTTCCTCAAAGGTAAATATTTTTTGTGGCATATTGAATGGAAAGATTATTGGCGCATACTTTTTTTATGGAAATTCAAATGCTGCCAGCCCTTCAAGATTTTCACGAAATGAGTTCACCGTTGTACTTGATGGGCTCCCTATTGATTATCGCTACAATAAACATTAACAACTTGATGAAGCACCTATCCATAATGCCGTTGCTGTGAGAAACTGGTTGAATGATAATTTTCCGAATCGCTGGATAGGACGAAATAGTCCTCTTATTCGTTGGCCGCCAAGATCCTCAGATATTACGCCTCTCGATTTTTTTCTATGGAGTACGATAAAGAACAAAGTTCATGCTACGAGGCCTCAGACCTGGGAAGAGCTTTGTGACCGCATCAGAGAAGCTTGTCAAAGTATCACAAGACAGCAGTTAAGAATAGATGTGAACTATAATCGTCTACGTATTGAAAAATGTATTAGAGAATTCGGTGGATTGATAGAAATTACTGATATTTTTTACAAACTAGCCTTCTTTGATTCTTGTATAAAATAGTTTTCATCTCGGTATTCATTGAGAAGAAAACAAGTATAAATTAATTCATCATAGTTTCTATGTTTTTTTTCTCGGGCTTCCTGTACAGACTGAAGTTACCTTCGAAACAATGAACTTTGGTACAGATATGTATAAAATAATTTTCAATGAAGGAACCATAATCAGTTCTTTTCGAAAATGCAACGATAAAGTGCATTTTCCTGATGAAATATTCATAGAATAATAATTCGTTTTTTCGGACACCCTGAGTTTTATGAAGATCAAAATCGGTACAGGTATGTTTGAAGTAATCCTGATTCAGAATCCAACAATATTCCTTGTTGGAAAATTTCTAATAGTACTTTTTGAAATATGTGTCAATGAAATTGGTCGCAGCGGCTACGATAACAGTCCAAAAATGAAATCACACTCGTGTTGGATGAACATTTCAAATACCAATCCAACAAAACAGAGTTCTCCAAAATCGAAAATTGAAAATTGATGGCCCTAGATTCAGTCCTTGGGGCACAGCCGACCATAAAATGTTACCTTCGTATGTAATATTCCTAAGTCTCAATTATTGTAGATATGATACAAAAAAGGATATAGAATACTTTCCCAATCCCTAATATTTCAATTTTGCCAATGTGTCTTGATTCACATTATCGAAGGCTCAAGCGAATTTGGTGAAGATACATTCTACTTGTGCATTTGCATTCAAGTACTCTGAATTGTTTTTGTGAATATCGAAAGATTTGTTTTCACCAATTCATTTTTGCAGAAGCCGTGAAAAATATCTTGTTATGACACATTCAAGACTGATTGGTCTTGAATAATGAATTTGAATATTTTTGCTGCTCAGTTGAATGAATACTGAAATGACTCAATGATTCCTAAATTGACATTCATCTCCTCTCTCAATAATCAATGTAATTCCAGTTTGCTCGAATTCGTCTGAGAAATTGCCCGTTCTCATAGATTCATTATAAAGGTTTCTTCATGTCACCTCCCTTCTTCTATACATCAGTTATCAGTTGAGTAGAAATTCATTCATTTCGCTGACTCTAATTGTATCATAGAGCACGTACCAGGAGAATCATTCTGATTCAACAGGGTATATCAAAACTGTGTGACGTTATGATGATATATTTCAATGAATGGAATGTCATATTTTGTTGTACATTTGAGTGATCCTCCTGTAGGAAACAAATGATGATGAATGATCAAGATGATCACCTGGAGTTATCATTCTTGGATTTTGTCAACCAGTGGCGCAGTAACGATTCAAATTTAGCAAGTAAATCAATCTAAGAAACTCGAATATGTGGTCTGTACTATAGAAAATGCACATGCTACAAGAGTAGCCCCTATACAATATAAATTCTCAGTTAATGTGTGTTGTGGCAGTTATGACAATCAATTATTTGTACCAAATATTTTTCTTCAAACACTGACATGCGGAGTTCACTTGAATTCTCCATAGGACATCTTATCAGGAATAACAATTTCATTGTGGAATAATTCTTGAAAACAAATGTTCAGAATCGTGCGTAATTGTCCTCCTCCATCATTTGGTTGCCACCTCACAAGAAACCCTCAGAAGTCTTCGAGAGACTCAAGTGAGCAAGAAATGACAGGGGTCTTACCTTCTAACGTGTGGAACACTTTCTCAGGATATCATCAAAAAAATTCTGCATTTGTGGTGATAATCGAACCTACCTACCGGCAATCCAAAGTGAATAGAAACTTCAACCTCAAGGCTACGCTGATTCTATCAATAATTGGCTTGTGAATGACTAAGATTTTGGAGCTTAACGGTGTCTTCTTTTTCAAAATAACAAGGACTACTAGATTACATTCAGACGCTGATGAATCCAGAAATCATATCAGCGATTGTTTCAGGATGAATCTGCGTATGCCACTGAAACTGACGTCTTCTGAAATAGATCAGTACCAACTCACATGGAAAAGTATTCGAAATGAACAATTACATGAAATTACTGATCTTCATGCATTGCCGAGCTTCTTATGTGTTGTCCATGTGACAACAAATGGATTTCACGGATAACACCATACAATAGACATTCTCCTTAATACATTCAAATTGAGACACTCTCCTGAGATGATATTGAATCGAAACATTTCAGATTTTGGAATTTTCTACTTTTTCTGAATCAAATTCTCTTGGGGTAGTTGAGTCGAACGATATAGGACGCATGGACTATCGTAACTTTTTTGATACTGTCGAGAACGATATACCAAATAATTCTGAAAAATTCTGACATTTCGTATTCACAAAGAATAGGAGCAATATTCTACCCAATTCAATGAAATTGGATAAGGAATGCGCAAAAGGTGCCGTCGTCTGTAACGTTTTTTCAAAATTCTTCAGAAGTGTCTTTCAACCCTGTCAACGAACTATTGAGTTGTTGCCAGAAACGGAAAGAGATTCAATTAGTGATAAAGCTACAGCTGAAAGTGGAGTTCTAGACATCCTTTGTAAATTAGATGAAAATGAAGGTGGTGGACCTGATGGCATCCCATCATTTTTTATGAAATAGTGCGCACCAAGTTCATATGTTCTTCTGACCATCATTTATAATAGATCATTCAATGGAATCACATTTCCAAAGAAATGGAAAGAAGCATTTGTTGTTCCGATTTTCAAAAATGGTGACAAATGTTTGATTGGTGATTATCGACCGATTTGCAAGATCAATATCTCAAGCGGAGTGCAAAGACTCATTGTTCATGATACACTAATGTATACAGTCAAAGAATGTATCATTGATGAGCAACATGGCTTTATCCCCAGGAGGTCCATCGAAACTAGTCCTGTTTCGTATAGCGAGTATATTAAATCTGCAATGGATTGTCAAATTCAGGTCGACTCAATATAAACTGATTTCAGCAAAGCATTCGATAAGATCGACCTCAATATATTAATGTTGAAGCTGTCTAGAATTGGGGTATATCGCCAACAGATCACAAACTGTCGTAGCTAACGGTTATGAATCCGATTCATATTTAGTTACCTCAGGAGTACCCCAAGGATCCCATCTGGGACCTTTACTTTTTGTAATATATTTGAACGACATCAGTTCATGCTTTGAATATTGTGAATTTTCGCTTTATGCAGACGACTTGAAAATATTTTCTCGAGTCAAAAGTCTAGGTGATAGTGTCTCAATTCAACGCGATCATTACTGTTTCTTCAAATACTGTGAATCAAATAAAATTTTCTCAAATTTAAACGAATGCTTTTTCGTCTCATTTACTCAGAACATCAAAACATTCTCTAATGATTATAATCTCAACAACACCATATTGAAACAGGTAAATCAAATCGAAGATCTAGGGATTGTTTTCGACAAAAAATAGCTTTTTCGGCTTATATCGACTATGTTGTTTCAAAAAGCAATGAAACTTTAGAATTTATTATAAGATGATGTGAATATTTCAATTCGATTCATACAATGAAAGTGTTATTTAATTCTTATGTGTACAGCAATATAAATTTTGCAACAGTTGTCTAAAGTCCCCAGTATATCGTTCAGAAACAAAGACTTGAGCTGATTTAACACAAATTTTCGCGATTAATGGATTACAAGATCAGTGGCACATATAATTACCTCGCGAGCACATATCGACTCAGGCAACAATTCCAATTTCATTCACTAGAGGCCTGCCGAGAACAATCAGATATATATTTTTCATTTGAAATTCCGAACAATGTATTAGATGCTCCTAATTTATTATCGAATTGGTATCTCATTTCATGTTCCTCGACGTATCCTTAGACAAAACGAGCTATTTTCAGCTCTATTTCGTCGCACAAACTTAGAAATAAACCCACCACTACACAGAATGTCAACTCATCATAATAGTAATTTCTCTTCAATCGCTCTATTTTGATTTTTATTGAATGTTCTCAAAATAAAAATAAAGAATTTATATTGCACAAATGATTAACAATATATGTCACATCTTTACCAATCTTGAATATACAGGGTGATTCAAAAGTAAGCGGCATCCTTTCAGAGGCGTATTCCTTGCATGAAAATAAGGCAAAAAGTTCCTATTGATAAGGATCCGAAAATGCTTCCTAAGGGAGCTACGGCCCTTTGAATAGGACACCTCAAAGACGGTTTTTTCTCTATAACTTTAAAATCCTTCACAACAAATTTTTAAAAATTGGTGTACGGCATAAACATTCGATGGTAAATAGGACTCCGTATTCGAAATAATTTCCAAACGAAATCACAGTAACCTGAATATCCGGAGAAGAAGGGATATTTTTACACTTACCCTCTCCCGCATGTGACGCCCCTGAATGAAATTCTGAAATTTCGAATACGGAGTCCTATTCACCATCGAATGTTTATGCCGTACACCAATTTTTAAAAATTTGTTGTGAAGGATTTTAAAGTTATAGAGAAAGAACCGTCTTTGAGGTGTCCTATTCAAAGGGCCGTAGCTCCCTTAGGAAGCATTTCCGGATCCTTATCAATAGGAACTTTTTGCCTTATTTTCATGCAAGGAATACGCCTCTGAAAGGATGCCGCTTACTTTTGAATCACCCTGTATAGAGGTTTGATACATAGATATTAGATTTCAGATTAGATTTTAAATTCAGTCTTCTGTCATGAAAAATGTTTCCAAATGGATAATATACAGCGAAAGTGATTATAATAGGTAGGCAGGTGATTTTTTTCATATTGTCAATGTCAAACACCAAGTAATATACTTTGGAATTGTTGAGTCATGTGGGTGAATCGAATGTACTCTATACACCGTATTACTCACTGTCCTAGTGGATCACATTTTGGACCTTGTCGTCTGTTATTGTCCTATTTAATTGTCAACTATCAAATAAATGTATAAATTAATAAATAGGAGGATACTGCATCAAGTTTGCGGTCATATGTGACTCTAGTAATTGCGAAGCCTACATTTATAAATATTGCAACATGAAATGCTCATCAAATGAGCATGATGGAAAACTTGCCAGTTTTCAGAAACTTGGTCAGATGACGCCGACTCTAGTGGCGTACGCAGATTTGAAAATAATCGTTAATATGAATTATGGATTTCTCAGCCTCTGAATGTGATTTAATGAGGATTAATTCTTGGGAAAAATTGATGGCACGTGACTCCAAAATACGCTTATTAAAATTTTGAATGAGAGTTCGTCAAAATCGAGTCATAATTGAATAATCTGCTTTCGAATTAGTTACTCTGTATGTACATCAGTGTGAAGTATTTGCTCGGATTCTTATCATCAATAGTGTTATGTCGCAATCATCTAGATTGTTCATTTGTTTGAACATGATCGAACCTCATACTATCATCATCTCTGATTTGATACACGTTATCAATAATCAATAAATACCTTACCACATGAACAAAATATGAGGGTGTTTGCACTTACCTTTACGAATGCTGTCAAGTCTTTTGAAAAAGGTCCTGATGTATACAGGCCTTTGAGCTTAGTCCCTACTTGAGTCTTGTTATCAACATTCATCAAATCTTGTACAAGCAAACTCGGATCAGCATCATTGAGTGCAGCAAATTGAACCACCGCTTCCTCTATAAAATAAAGATATTTCGAATGTAACTTCATCAAAAATATTTGAACATATTTTTCCGAAAGTGTATTTATAGAAATAACTTCAATAAATTAGTTCGGTTTTTATCATAACATTGTCATCAATGCATTCATATATTTTGTAATCATCGCCCTAATGAACAGTTATATCACATTATGACAGCATGATATGTCCTTGGATATATTCGACATATATATTCATGATCCTAAATGCGTTCAAGACTGTTTCAACGGTGATATATGTTTCCTTCTGAAGATGATTTCTTCTGAAGAATATACTGAGGGTCACAGTACAGTTTTCAAGATACGTTTGCAGGTATAGTTGAAAAATATCATTGTGGTATTCCAGCTATAGCTTTCCCATTGAACTATGTGATGCGAACTATTTATTATCATTCTGGAAATCTCTATGAGTCACAGGGCTTCCAGAACATTCTCCATAACACGATCATATGTTTCGCATGCATTATAACTCACAATCCCAATAGATAAAAATGACTTGTGCGCATGCTATCCAATTCTTTATTTGAAAAAGTATGCACAATATCCTAACATTCAAGAGTGAAGTATTTTCTTATAGTCATGGAAAATTATCGAGTTTAGCAAGTGAAGCAATACAAATGAACAGGTACTCTTAAAAAAACTTCCATTGGCAAATAATTCCGAAGCTCAACCCTTCTATAGAAGACCAAGTGCTGAATGAGTGTTGTTCGATAAATTTCAAGGTTGAGGACGAGGAGGTGCTGACTGGGCCTGTCCATTTTGTCTGACTGGTATTGCTAGTGATTGCATTAGAGCAAAACATTTCTGAGGAGTATTTTCCGTGGGAGTATCTTTATAAAGTGAAAGGTCGCCAACTGTTCAACGTTGTTCTAATGAGGACGGAGAGAGTGGCATCATCCACCAGGCGAACGGCTGTCCTCTGGATAGCGATAGCATATCTCTGTGTTCTGTTCCCCAAACATGGAAACAGTATCCTCAAACTGGCCGTATCTGGGCTTTGTGAACCATGAGAAGCTGATGAGGTGTGCAGTAGAGTTTTACACGGAATTAGATTCCGAGTTTTTGTGATGAAGCTTCTGCGATGGATCCGACATGATTTCTCAATGGGAGAGTACTGCTGATGGTGATACCGACCATAGATATCTTGGTCTCAGTCTTGGAATGGTTGTACTAGACATACATAACATTCGAGACATACTTGACATCTCAGGCATACTGACTTCTGCCTTTCTAGACAAATTACAGAATTGAGTTCTTATGGCGGAATACAACGTGGTTATTGGTTTCATTAGCTGTAATTTTTGAAAAATATCCATTGATAGCGTTGGCCAACCATCGTCGTGAGTCCTTGGTTTCCTGGAAAAAAATGTGAATAGGATGGGAGAGAACGAAGGAATCGTTGATATAAAGTAGGAACAATGTTGGCGCCAAAATTGATACGCTGAAATTGCTGGCAATAGTATCAGACGAAACTCCGTCAACTACTACATGGAGCGATTTGCCTGTAAACAAAATCGATGATGTATGGCATAACTGGCCACATGATGAAAGTTTGTGGAGCAGTCCTGGCTGCCAAACACGGTCGAAGGCCTTCGACATATCTAAGGTCACAGCTAGAGATTCCCTCATGTTTTTTTAATGAAGCTTGCTGTGCTGGGTTGAGGAAGGCTAGCAAATCCCCAGTTGATCTTTGGTGGCAAAAGCCATAATTTTGCCTATCATTGATGATTCCTGAAATTTCTAGATATCTGATGAGCTCATTATTTTGGAAAATACTGATAGCAGAATGATTGGCCAATGGTTGTTGGCGAGGCTCCTGTATTTGTTCTCAGGGCTAGCTATGTTCCAGCATCATGAAGAAATACCCGACTTGTAGGAGATCGTGAATAGTTTGCAGAGAACTGATGTCTATTCTGGTGCTCAATTTTTGAAAAAAAAATTGGTGGAAGTCAATCAGGAACATTAGACCATCTCGTTCTCATACTGAGCGAGAAGCGTCTGATAGATAATTCTGGGCATTCAACTTTCAATGGGTGGTGGCCGTGGCCGTGAGCGTAGAGTCGCTGGCTGTTGCCCAGGCGGTCCGGGTTCGATCCCCGGCGCGAGCACTGAATTAATTTTCGGTAGTTTCGTTGGGCGGGAGGAGATAGGTGGCCAACCCAACATTCTTGGTACCTAGATATCAATCCTTTGGACTGTCCACGGTTACCAGCCGAGTAGTGCTTCGGATGACACTTAAAAAGCTAAGGTCCCCGTCTTCTTAACTCACACAAGTCTCTGACTTTCGAGGGTTGCTTTGCAACTAAGCTGGCGGTTAAAAACACTTTTTTTTTTTTTTTTTTAACTATCTGGCGGCACTCTTCCCTGGTGACCCAAGGTGGAGTCTGCTGCAAACTGCTGTTAGAAGATGTTCTCTTCTTCTTGCGATGTTGTTGCTGAAATGCCGTCGGCTTCGAAAAGTGGTGGGGATGAACAATTAGTAAAATTCCTCCCGACTGCTCTAACGAGGGACCAGAATGAACGGGAGCGAATGCTACAATCTATGAGTATTCGTTTTATTCTGGCATTGAAATTATGATCCCTTTGAAAGCACGTATAATAGGCTTGAACATAGGTTGCTATAGTCACGAGGTCAAGGTCCTTGCGTCATATATGGTAGGCTGTTTTTCCAAGTAAACAGCTCTGGCACAGTTCTTGTCGTATCAGGGTTTGAAGCTGATGATCTTTTCCGAGAATGACGTTCATCAGTGTCAATTCCAAGCGTAATCATTTCGAATATTCAATACAATTATTATAAATTATTTGATTGGGACTGATGCCAACTAATTCATTATAACTACTCCACACATCAATATTGCCTAGTAGTTGACTCACGAAGGTTCACACGTGACATCGGTGGTATACTTATCTTGTAGGTTTATAGTGCCTGAACATCCACTAGATGTTTCAGAGCCTCATAACTAGCAAAATTAATTCAATTTATTACTTCATAAGAAAATTCCTTATTCAAAAAGCGTACTATGACCTGCAGGAATATTACAACGAAAAGTTTTGAAGTCATGTATAATTTATTTCTATAATCAATTTCTAGATTCTTTTACTATTATATGCTATTATGCTAGGTACCTAGTTGGCGGTGTATGTGATATAAATGTTATGCTTCTAGGGCTTTTTTGTAGTTGTTTTATACCCTTGTACTTGTGTTATTTATTAATTATATTTTATGTTCATATTTTCTATATATTTGTACAAATAATTGGACATATAGTGGATCTATCCGATTGCTAGTTTCACGCTTTGTCAATATGAAGAATGTTTCTTGGACAATAAAGCTCAGTTTTGATTTGATTTGATTTGAATGATTTTCATGTACGATTTCTCTTCTGGAGGTATTGTACGGGACAAACAATAGTATATTTTCAGAACGTATTGTTCGAATGAGCAATCAATATACTGTTGTGGTTGATACTATCATAATAGCATGTGAAAATTCATTAAACCGCAATTCAATATATTTGCTTGCCCATAATCACATCAAGACGCTGGTTCAGAGGGAATCGTGTAGTTGGTAATGGGATGATATCGAGTGGTTCGATGAAAAAAAAAAGATAATTGGAATTGAGAAGTTAAATGATTAGTGAGTTTCCATGCTGAATGAGTTAAACTAACAACCCAGTTTATAACATTTGTCATGTCAGGAAGGTACTCGAAAAATATTTCTCCAACATGCCTGGGCTATTATTTCTGATAGTAAATATATTGTTGAATCACGATTGGTCTTCAGTATCTGAAGGAGATAATATTGTTCTTCCTGAACATCAACGGAACTTTCAATATTGTGTTAATATGTGTGTTCTATATTTTTGTTTTCCTGAAACGACAATTCTAGCACATCAGGAGACGACGTGATGAATGGTTGCACATTTCTTGATACATTGGTCAGCTTCACACTTGATTGCTATCATGATAGCCAATTCACTGACCAACATAAGTTGGGTTACTGATTGAAATCTTTCATGAACGCGTTCATGTACATCCATATTTCTTGATAGTGCAGTACAATTGTGACATGTTTTTTGATTCTCATTCTCATACCAAATTATGTCACAGTTTATAGAGCAGTTTTGTTTCCACAGACATTTATTTTCTCAAGGCGATCTAGAAGTTGAGAACACATTTCATTACCAATGATATTCGGTAGGGTTTCCCCAAGAGGCCACTGGATTCTAGATTAATAATTCAATTATAGGTAGATCTGCCTCTCATAACAAGAAAAAATAATTCCAAAATTCCGAGAAAATCGGTGAAAGGATATTTCAGATATTTACACTTCACATCTTGGAAGCATATGAATTTTTGAGTCCATACATGAATGAAAGAGAATTCATGTTTTTTTATGCAAAATCACCCACTCGATTCTTCGCAAATAATCTCCGGACACGCTGTATATTTTCTTGTGAAATGCTCTTGGACCAATATCAGTCAGACGTAATTAGAAAACCCAGTCAGCACATTCGTTCATCAACCTCAAGACATTCTAAACCAATCTGAATTATTTGGCAATGTATGTGCTTCCAAGAACTCAAAATTTTCGAGAGTTCGCTCGAGTCTTTTAATTCATCTTTGATGTTGGACATTTCTATATTGAGGCGCTTTTCCTCCGGCATTTGAGATCGTGATTATATGTTGTCGAAATGGCTATCCTCGTATCAGTTGTGACATCATCAAGGTCACCTCTGTTCGAGTTTGTTCCTTATGAATTCCAGACAAAATGAATTTTCACCAATTCATTTCAGTCCTTATCGCCAATTCATGATGTATAGGCTCTCTTTCTCAAATCTCAACGTAGACTTTGGAAAATGTGCTCCATTCATTGTTTATAATTCTCAATCTCCCATGTTATTACATAATTTCGAATTCAAATCTTGACAATGTTACAAATATACACTTCCTATGAGCTACATAATCCTTTGAATCTGCCAAAAACTATACATCTCTGTATGAGGATTCACAAGAAGAAACACGTGGAACCTGAATTGAATCTAGTGGGATTGTATGAAATGAATATGCTATCAGGATCCTAGATTTTTGAAAATACAATCTCGATGTTGAATGGAACGAATATCAAAGTTGAAGCTGAGGCAAGGAGTGTTTCCGTATTGACGCAAGCTCTACCGAAATTACCTCATGGAGTCCCATGAAAAATATATATGAACTGTGAATAAGGACATGTTACCAAGTTTTGCAGCGTAACTTATTGTGAATCATTTCTATTCAATCAATTTTGAAGAGGCTTGATAAAATCTGATGAGTGTATGTAATTCATAAGCGTGAAATATAACAGTGTTATAATTCATCACGATGATAATGATTCAACTCACCTGCAGGCATGAAAAGTAGAGATTCTTCAGAATTGAATCCAATCATACTGGGCACATGATTGAAATTTCCGTCCATGAAATCTTGATGCATGGGAGTAGTGGTGAAAGCTTGTTCATCTTCGGCATTCTCCACAACAGGTGACCATATTGGCTGCCCGATGAATCCGACTGAATAGGAACTTGGAACCTGAAAATTCGATGGCCATCAGGGCTCTTCTTCTTCTCATCATCCAGGATGAGGTGATATCCATCATGAAATATATCTATGAAAGTTCAGAAGATGGAGAGGCAGTTTGTATCAATCAGTTATTCTCCATCAGTAATGTGTCCAGATATATTTGCTGTATCGAATGACAACAATGAGATTTATTTATGCACGACCAAGTATGAGGTAGCACTTTATCGCCTGAATTTGCCGGAGTAGACTAACATTTTAGCGCTCCAGGCGGAGAAATGAGTACAGCTGGCGATGGAATAGTCCGGCGGACGGTGAAGAAGGTGAATTGTCGGTAAAGTAATTCTACTGTTTTTCCAGAAATTTTCAGTAGACAACCACAAGATCTCTTTTTATCAGTTCAAAAATGATTTCACTTCAATCACTCCCAATATATTTGAACAGTGATCAGCCATGATTTTGATATCAACCAACAGGACCAAAGATTCTGCTGTCAACTTGATGAGTACACACTCATCATGACTTCATATAGTTGAGAGCGCGCTGCTACAATATATCAAATCAATTATTTCACACGAATTACAACAATTTGTACTATTATTTGTCTATCGACACGTGCACACATCTGAGTAACCCTCACATACATGATTTGGTCAGATGGAGTCAAAATCCCAAAAGGAATCCATATTAGTCCAATCAAGATGTTCATCCGCACTCGCGAAAAGTTTGATCATTCTGAATTTTCCATATGTTATCAGAACCCAATCCAATATTGAGAAAACAGATTTGCAATTCACAAAGTGCTGTGCGAGCGACGGTATACCCAAAAAACCATGGAATTTTCGGACTTATTTCAGTTTTCGCTCAATATTCCAGAGAAGAAAGGGTTTGACCGCTGTAGTCATCTCATTAACCTTTGGGAATCACAAAATTCGCT